CATCATTCTTGAAAGGTTATCTGCACTAAAGTATCTTGTGAACGTAAAACAGAGTTGAATGCCAATGCATAATGGCGGAAAAAGGGAAAGACTTAATTAGGTTTGCATAATCTTTAATATAAATAGGAATGCAGAAAAAATGCTAACTAACCACTTTTACTCATAGATAAAAAAATATTACCCACTACTGAGGCAGTGGGTAGGGCGAATCGGGGCAACCGTTCCAAGCCCTGTGCTTTGTGGGGCCCCGCGGGCTGGTGCAATTGGCCAGCACAGTCGGTCCCGGAAGACATAGGCATGGGAACTAGGGGTCTCGACTGTCGCCCTGCGCAACTAGGGCTGTACTGCCTGCGTTTTGGTGCAGTGAGTTCTCTGCCCCGTCCGGAGCCAACAATAGCCCTGTGGTAAACGCCAGCAACTGCCAGCAGCAGCGCGGCCCAGTACCAGGCTGGATCCATCCCGCCGGCCCAGCCACCAATGCAGAGCAGGGCCCCCGAGCTGGAAGGGCCTGATTTTGCCCCGGGCCCCCACCCAAGGATGGCCCTGTACCGAGGGACCATATGATACACTAAATCAGGGATTGGCAACCTTTGGCACAAGGCCCGCCAAGGTAAGTACCCTGGCAGGCCGGGCAGGTTTGTTTACCTGCCACGTCCACAGGTTCAGCCGATCGCGGCTCCCACTGGCTGCGGTTCGCTGTCCCAGGCCAATGGGGGCTGCGGGAAGTGGCGCGGGCCAAGGGATGTGCTGGCCGCTGCATCCCGCTGCCCCCATTGGCCTGCAGCGACAAACCGCGGCCAGTGGGAGCCGTGATCGGTCGAACCTGCGGACGCAGCAGGTAAACAAACTGGCCCGGCCTGCCAGGGTGCTTATCCTGGTGGGCTGCGTGCCAAAGATTGCCAACTCCTGCACTAAATTCTCAAGAATTTTTGAGTATTTGGTGCATAAATTAAGACCAGGTTGTGCCCAATACCTTGTGTGAGTGCATGGAGACTGTCCAGCCTCTCTACCACTTTCACAGAGTCTGGCCACAACTGAAGTCTTTGTTCTCTTCTTAGCGCAAGGGTAGCACTGCTAGCCATCTGAAAATGGAAGTGAAGAAGTAGGGCAATGGCCCTGCTCCCCAGCCTGCTGTAGTGGCCAGCAGAGCTGGTCAGTCACAAAAAGGAATGTATCTTAAAGAGTATGGCAGCGGCCACACACCTTCCTGCAGACCAGTGAACTCCAGGTGGTTCAACAGGGGCCTGTGCCTGGAATCCATAATAGAACACCAAGTGCTGCCTAATGACTGTCACTGCTAGATTCTCCAGTATGGCTGTCCTGAAAGTGAGTTTGAAAATCTCCTGAATATTGTAAATCCATAGGCATTGAGATAATGTGCATTTCTGCCACAAGAGTCAGTATTTAACAAAGAAAAATGTTTCTCAAATGGAGAAAAAAAGATTGCAGCAAGGTCAAAAAAACTTTGTTCCTCTTCCTTCATATATAGGTAAAAAGTAGGGCTGTTGATTAATCGCAGTTAACTCACATGTTTAATTCAAAAAAATTTAATAGTGATTAATCACAGTTTTAATCACACTGTTAATAGAATACCAATTGAAATGTATTAAATATTGTGGATGTTTTTTCTACATTTTCAAATATATTGATTTCAATTACAAAACAGAATACAAAGTGTACAGTACTCACTTTATATTATTTTTATTACAAATATTTGTACTGTAAAGATGATAGACAAAAGAAATAGTATTTTTTCAGTTCACCTCATACAAGTACCGTAGTGCAGTCTCTTTATCGTGAAAGAGCAGATTACAAATGTAGATTTTTTTTGTTATATAACGGCACTCAAAAACAAAACAATGTAAAACTTTAGAGCCTACAAGTTCACTCAGTCCTACTTCTTCTTCAGCCAGTTGCTATGACAAACAAGTTTGTTTACATTTACAGGAGATAATGCTGCCTGCTTCTTATTTACAATGTCATTTGAAAGTGAGAACAGGCGTTCACATGCCACTTTTGTAGCTGAGGTTGAAAGGTATTTACGTGCCAGATATGCTAAACATTCATACGCCCCTTCATGCTTCAGCCACCATTCCAGAGGACATGCTTCCATGCTGATGATACTCATTAAAAAAATAATGTGTTAATTAGATTTGTAACTGAACTCCTTGGGGGAGAATTGTATGTCTCCTGCTCTGTGTTTTACCTGCATGCTGTCATATATTTTATGTTATAGCCGTCTCGGATGATGACCCAGCATGATGTTCATTTTAAGAACAGTTTCACTGCAGATTTGACAAAACACAAAGAAGGC